AATATTCCATATTAAAAAAAAACTAAGAAAAATAAACAGTAAATATTAATAACCTCAAATAATTAATATAAATAAAACTACGGCAGATTAGTCACCTACCTAGTTAAACTCTATGACACAATGAAACTAGTGCATGAGAAATCATGCACTAGCCCTATGCTCCTTCTAGGAGTGAATAAGGGAAAAAAAAAAAAAAAAAAAAAATATTCAAGTACAAAAAGTTTGATTATTATTCAATCATATTATTCAAAACGCAAAAAACAATTATCATGGCTCCGTAATATAAGAAATTGGACTGGTATAACAAATGCGGGCGAATTGATACATCAGGCAACTGATAGAGACAGATTCAAAAATTTAATATTCAGCATCATATGCAGTGCAAGAAGAAAAATTATTCAAATTAAATCGTAGAAAATTGTTAAAAATAAATAATCTGCGATTTTAAAAAACTCATTAAACAATTGGCTATTGGTACCTTTAGTTTTAATCGCAGTATCATTTACGCATACTCATTTTATTTATATAAGTATATATATATTAATTTATACATGTGCAGAATATTGCAAGTAGCAAGTATTTAAAAGAAAATATTCCATAAAAATATTTATTATTAAACATTATACTTATGTGTTATAACACTATCCTGATAAGTATACTACACAAGGACAGTAGTTATAAATAATTATAAAATTCATAACAGAACTGTAATGAAAAACAAAACACAAATTGCTTTACTTCTTCATACACATACTGATCATATTATACATACGTACATTATAATAAAATGTATAATATATTAATACCATTATAAATTGAACCATTTAATTAAAAAAATCTAAAAAAATAAAAAAAAAAATTATTTGACAAAATTTCAACTAAGTTACTCATTCTCTGACATCATAATATTTTTCATGGAAATTGTGAATTTAGGAGGAAAATGGCATTAGAAATAAAAATCATAAATAACTACTTGAAATACATTAAGTTGGTTACCTGCAGAAGTAGAATAATGAAATTAAAAAAATAACAAACAGGTAGTTGTTAAAAAAAAAAAAAACAAAATAACAAATTAAAGATTCTTACCTTTTCTTTTCTTTGCTTCTGTTTTCTTTTTCTTATTTTTTTTAATTATACTTAGATATCTGAATTTAAAATTGCTAGGCAGTTGTTATTATTCTATTATAATGAAAATTAGTTAAAGATAATATTAATAATACATAATAATAATAATTAATAATAATAATAATAATAATAATAATAAAATTTGTTATTTTAACATAAACCACAATTACAATTTTAAAAGAAAACCACAAATATCTATGTAACTATGTATGTATGTTGTTTATTTAATAATTTAATTGAAATTTTATATTTTTTTTTAAAAACATTGACATTTTTTTCATCTTTTATTTTTTTTATATATTACACACATAAGTACAATAAAATTAATTTTAAAATATTTTTTTATTATTTAATTATTACATATTTAGAAAGGTTGGTAGTAATTAGTAGGTAATGCATTTTTTTTTTTCTTTAAGTAACTTAATATTTTAAGTAAATTTTATTTGTTATACACACACGACTGTAAATTTCGATTAATTTATTTAAAAATTTTCAAATTTACTTTGAATTTAACAAGTTGCTTTTAAGTAAAATCACCATAACTAATAAAAAATAATATTTAGAATTTCAAATAAAATTTCTCTTTTATGTAAATATTTTATTATTAAAATTATTTATAATTAAACATAAAAGCAAGAATGAACATAAAAACAAAAATTAGAAAACATCTTTTAAAAAATTTTATTGTTTTCTCCTCTTTCTTTTTTCTTGTATTCTCAAAATTATTTTAATGGTTCTACTTATACGAATGTTGGGAATATCTAAAATAATATAAGAAAGAATCACTAAAGTATGGTAGCTATTTTACATATTTTTATGATTTATGAACATTTTAAAACAACATAGAAAATACCATTTTTATTTTTTCATATTTTTGCACAGATTAGAACATAAAATTTTTTATTTTTTTGTTTTTCAATTTTTATTTTTCTTTTGTAATATTGTGTTGTTTGTTTGTTGTTTTTATTAATGTAGAAAAATATCTTTCCTAGTCTGCTGTTCTGCTAATGCTGCCTGCCTTGCCTTGTCAGCCTGCTGTTTGAGTGGGCCTCTTCTTGATTTTCTTTTTATTTTTTTTTTTCACTTCTTTTCTTTTTGTTTTTTGCTTTACATTTTCGTTGTTTATCGATTATGAACTAAATTTTTTTCATTTTTGCTTTTCTTCCATTAAGAAAAACTTTTGAGGGTGCTTCGCAAACTTATATGATCTATTTTTACCAAAATAAAATATAATAAAGAAAATAATAATTTATATTTTATTTTCGTTCCAATTTTTTTTTTTGCTTTTTTTTGTTATATTATTTTTGTAATACTTTATTCCTTATAAAAACTTGCATTTTTTTTTCTTAATCATTCCAAAAAAAAAAAGTTGTAATTTTGTTTTAGAATCACATATTTTTTCTTTTTTAACTTTAATTATTGTTGTCTTATATATTTTGAAATAGTGACTGAAAACAAAAAGGAAAAAATCCAATAAACGTTATTATTAAAAATTTAATATGAAAATTTTTATATTAAAATATTTTTTACAATGTAAATATTATAAACCGCCACCGTCGCCGCGTTAATAAAAAAAATTTTCCATAATTCCAAAACGCAAATGAAAAAATAAAAATAAATGGTGAAGTATGAATTCAAGAGCACCCATGGATTTTTTTCATTTCAACTTAAAAAAAAAATTTTTTTTTTGTTCTTTTTGATTTTTTACTTTTCGTGTTTTACGATTCTTGAAGATTCACCAAGCATACAAAACAATAGGAAATTTTTTTTTCTTTTTCAAATATATTTTTGTTTTTGAGAAACACATAAAAAACACTTATTTTACATTTTTATTTAAATAAAATATTAACAGTGTATTAAACTTAAACCTATTTTTAATTTTAATTTACAATTTATTTTCATTTTTATTTATTAAAATTAGAATATTTATTCGAGGGTTGAAGAAAAATTTCATTCAGAAAATGGACTAAAAAAACTTCTAGTGAAAAAAACGACGTTGTTTGACAACTTGACATTTTTTTAAAAACTTAACAGCCACACTAAATTTTACGATTAGTGTTGCCGCAAAAATTATAAACACAAAACACTATCGTTGTGATGAATTTAGGATTTTACAATCAAAAATCACTATGATATGTAATAAATATCACTACTAAATAATTTTAAATTATTTTATATTGCATTTGATGTGTCTTCAAACAATGAACTAAAAAGTTATAAAAAATCCGTAACCTGTTAACCAATTTTTATGTGAATAAATATTATTTTATACAAACTCTATTATTACATAATTTATTACATAATTCATGTAATGTTATAAAAATATTAACATAATGTGAACATTGACATACGGCAGCAATGTATTTGCAATGTGTAAATTCGACAAGATCAAGTTGAAACCAATTTAAACCAATAATATCGCATTTAAAATGGTTTATTTAAATTCGAAATATTACTAATTTAAATTTTTATTGATTTGTATTAAAATTTTAAATTCAAGAATTAGCAAAAAGTTGTGTTGCCTATTCATATTAAATGGTTTTTGACATTTCCTACTTTTTAAATAATTTAACTGGTTTTCTGCAACAACTAAAGTAAACGATTTTTTCTTAGACGACGAAAACACCTTAATTCAAATAGACTTATGGTTTTTTTGTCGTTTCAACAATAAGGTCACAAGAAGTTACAGTAAGAAGTAAAACAATTATAAATGAAAACATATTTCCGTTTCAACTACAAACATTGAAATGTCTAAATTTTTTACGGTAACCACAAAATAATTTTGAGATGGGTCTTATAAAATGTGTTGGATTTGATGTGAAACATCGAAAAATTACAGAATAGATTTAATTTATTTAAATTAAAGCAACTAAGCTCATGTTGAAATGTTCGTCATTGAATTTGGCGAAATAATTTTGCACTGGTTTAAAATAGAATTAACAAGAATATACATTTCTACGAGAAAATAAAAGTATTACCAATATATGTAGAAATACCTATTATCAAACAACTTAATATGCGAATATTTGAGTACGAATTAGTTAAAACTAAAAATGAACTGGAATTAGATTAAAATTCCTTACAATTAGTTGATTTTTCATTTCGCTTGTTAACAAAGCTTTGTTGTATTCTGAACGATAGAGAGAAAAAAAAAAAACAAAATATAAAAAATCCTTCACACAAATAAAATAAAATAAATGATGTAAAATAGCACACTTATTAAAAAATAACAAGTCTTGAGACTAGTTTTAAAATAACTGGACAACTCAAAGTATATGTTAAAATTCATAAAACTTCTTAAAAAATGCTATACATAATAAATTTTGATGAAAAAACAACGAAGTAGAAAGAAGAAGTAGAAATATAATTGTGTCTAATGAAAGGATCTAAAAATCAAAACTCTTTTCGGAAATCAAATAATTAAATATGTATGATTTGTACTTACTCTCAAATTTTTTTGCTGATGTTTTTAAATTACATTTTAGTACATAAAACTAGACTAAACTACATTTGTATTATGACTCACATAAAAAGAAAAAAAATTTCATTTCTATTAATATGACAATTTAGTCCTAACTATTTTAGTATGGATATTTCAGCGTCATTATGTTTACTTTTGTTTCATTTTGCACAATGGCAGCACCATTATTGATTTTGAAAACATAATATTATAACTGTCAAATACAATTTGAGTTTCTTTTGTTTGATTTTTGTTTTTCTCTTTTATGCTTTCAAAATAATCAATTTTTTCTCGCTTTATCTAATGTAAATAAGAAGTTGTTTTCTCTTTCCTTACTGAAACTTGTTTTTCAAACTTGGTAAATGGCAATATATTTTTATTTGAGTTTTTCTCTTTTTTTATTCCATAGTGCGAGAAAGAAACAAAATTAGTGTTGCTGTTCTGTTTGAAGTTGGTATGATGGAAAATTTTTTCATAATTAAAAAATTTTAAATAAAAAATATAATTAAATTTTAGAAATTATTAAAATATATCATAATGAAAACATAATTATGTATATTTTTTATGTGTTATAAAATAAATTAAAATATATTTAATTTTAAATGGAAAATCAGTGCAGACACATCATCGAAATGCATTGCTCTGAAAGAAAAGAAAATTTTTCACATTCCGGGTGAAATAAGAAAAAAAATAAATTTTAATTTTATTAAAAAATTTAAAAGAAGTCTGTGAAAAACCTTAAACAATTAAAACATAAAAATAATATTAAATATAAATTCATTAAATGAACATTAATATTTAGAAGAATGCAATAGGAAATTTGAAAAAAATATTTTTACAAGAAAAAAGATGTCTTCCCAAATAGCCTCTTTCAATCCAATCCAATTTTTCAAGAGTTTTTCCTATGGCTTATTGCTGCTTTTTTTTCTATTAGGTGATATGCATACAATCGAGCTTACCACAAATAGTATTGTTTAGAAATTTTTTTTTAAATTTGTTTCTATTTTTGGCTTGTAATCTTTTTTATGTATTTTTTTTTTATAATATAAAAATGGAAATAAATTTTGTTATTTTGTCAGTTTGAAAAAAAAAAAATTGGTAGTGTAGCTGCAAGCACCCCCTTTATCAGTATTAATAATAATGAGAAGAAAAAACAAATTTCCAAGATTTTGCGTAATAAAATTGACAATAGTTGAAGGTTTTTTTATGATAGTAACTAGCTACCTTTCTAATTTATTTTTTCGTTCAAGTAAAAATAAAAAAAAGGATCTCTAATATTTTTGATATTTGGTGTCTGATGATATTATTTTGATGGAATATAAATAAGTGGTCAGGTAGTTTTTATTTTCGTACAAAAGCTTTTTTTTAATATTTACTCATTTGATTGTTATTGCGTTCATCTATACTTAGATTACAACAACACTTTTGGAGATAGAAGTGGGAATTTTATTTATTGATCTTGCTAGATAATAAATAACAGAGAAAGTTTTCTGGGAATATTTTGTATATATTGTAAATGAGGTGTAGGTAAAAGTATATAAAATGTTCCTATTTTCTTACAATTAATATGACTGTATAGGTTTAAGTTTAAAATTATTAAAATGTGTAGAGGTACTTTTTGTTTTTTGAGTAAGTTTGCATACAAAGTGGTACAAAATATAAAAAAGTAGTAACTAAGAATAAGAATTAGATATCTACTTATTTTAATAATATGTATCTATGTTTATATATTTGAAATTTATTCAAAAACAAATTAGATAGGTAGTTAGGTACTTAATTTTACACTTATAGTAGATTTAAATAATATATTTGCACTGTTCTCTAAACTCAATACTATACTTATGATTATTTATTACAAAAGTATCCACTTATAGAAAATAGATCATTAATGATTTGCTGTTATATTTACAATTAGGTTAATAATCTGCCAATATTATACAAAAGATTGTATTATTTTGTGTGGTGTACGATACAGCCATAAGTAATTAATTGTTTAAGTAACTTAAATTTAATACATGCATATTTTGTCCAATTTTATATATAGGTAGGTTTCTACTTACATGTTATTTGTAAGAAAAGGCATATTATGCGTAAGATCAAATTTTGTCGGTACTTATATTGATTTAAAATTTGTATTATTAGTGCTATATTCTATTAGAATTGTAAATATTAGGCAAAATAATTTTTCTCATTTTTCATTTTTTTAAAATAATTTATCAAATTATTCCTAAAATTTGAATCGATTCTTTGATTTGAATTAGAATTGAATGATTTTCAAGAAATGTAGATATACCTAATTAAATACGAGACTATCTACCTATCTATATTTACATACCTACCTGGTTGTTGTGTTTATTTAATCTTAAGTGTCATCCAATAAAATATGTATTTATTAAATTTCAAGAATTGATTAAGCTTGGTACATTGTGTATTGATTTTATTTTTCTAATCAATATTTTGTATGTTTTTGAATTTCGAACTCCAAATTCTTTTTTGTATTTTTTTTTTTTGTAAATCATATTTACTGAAAGAGCAGGTATCTATTTAGCCATTTAAGCTTTAACAAATATTAATATACAATAATTAAATAATTAGATTGTTAAATTGATGATTAGGTTTCATTTAAAATAATTGTTTGTAATTAAATATTTGAACCTATACAAAAATATGATAGATGGGGAATTAAATTAATTCTTATAACAGGTAGGTATAGAAATTAGATTCTCTTCATTGAAGCGAAATCATGCAAGTAAATAAGGATGCTGAACTAGATTTTAATGATTCGAATTAAATTATCTAATTTTTTAATATAAATTTAATTAAATTCAAACAAGTATTTTTAGCTGATAACGTTTTTTATCTAGCTGATGATTGAAAATAGTTATAAGATTATAACACTTTCTTATTATATTAAAGTACGTGGTAATGAGGAAAAATCATTTTTTAGCAATTTAATAAAACATAAATATTCAGTAACTAGATATAAGAATTCTCAAATAAATATATAATCACAGACATAGATACGTGTAAATAATTCGGTATAAAAAATTTATCTTATATAAAAGATTAATTCTAATTTGGATAACAAATTAGTATTAATTAATACCGTTGGATTAAGGTTATATAAATATTAATGTAAATATATCGTGTTTACAGTGCACATTTTTAACGAACGACCCAACATTTTGAATTTTCAACAAAGCGAATGTAGATTGTCCTACATAACAATTGAACAAAATCTTGTTATAAGAGGAGTTTTAAATTTATTTTTTAATAAGGAATAATTTGTAAATTTGTAAATAAATAAAATTTAATTATTTGTCGCAATTTCCTTTATAACACAGAAATTAATTATATTTTAATACAAAATTTTCTAAAACTTACTAAAATAATTTTTCTTTTGTTTTCTTTATTTTCAGCTTGTATAACTGAATCTCTGCTTATATAACATCACACAAAATATAAATATAAAAATTATATAACTAAAACACAAAAGAAAATTACAAAAAAAAATTTATAAAATTAAGTAACAAAATTAAAAAAAAAAAAAACAAAATTCACCGATAAAACAACAATAATTCAAAAAGAAAAATTTTAGAAACAAAAAGAGGAATTCAATCAAAATAACGAAAAAAAAAATTAAAAAAAAAAACTTTGATATAAAAATTTTTTTTTTTTTGTTTTTAGCAATTATTTAAAAAAAAAATCTGTGAAAACAAAAAACAAAAACAATTTTAATTTTTTATACACTTTTATTTTTTTTTCTTTGAACTGAAATTTAAGAAATATTAAAAAAGAAGATGCAAACAAAAATTTGTGTTTAAAAACTTTTATTTTTTTTCTAAAAAAAAAAACACTAAAAACCAAAAACACTAAAAAAAAAGTTAAAATACCGAAAAAAAACAAATTAATTATAAAAATCGAATTTTTTTTTTATTAAATTTAAATTTTTTTTTATACATAATTTAAAATTTTTATTTTTTTTTTAAATTTAAAAAGAAAAAAAAAAACATTAAAATCAAAAAATATTTTTTTTATCTTTCACACATACACACTTAAAAAGTATAACGATTTATATTAAAAAAAAAAAAGAAAAACAAACCCTTTGGATCAAACTAGTTAAATTAAAATTATATTGAATTAAAAAATGCAAAAATTAATTAGATTTTGTTAAAACAATTTAAAATTCATAACAAACGAAAACTGCAACAACAACAACAACACTTTAAAAAATAAAAGGATAACTAAATCGCAACGCATTACCTACAAGTAAACTAAAAAAAAAAATAACCAAAAAATCAAAAAAAAAAAATTGTATTATATATACATCCATATAAGTATATATATATATATATATATATAACACTCAACTAGTGTAAACAATAAAACAAATAAAAATAATTTGTAATTGAATAGAAAAAAAAAACATTTTTAACTAAATATCCCGTAATTGCTAACGTGAACTCACCTGAAGAATTTATTAAATCTAAAAAAACAATTATAAAGAAAAAAAAAACAATTCATTTATTTTGAATTAATTGAATTAATTGCCTTTTTATTATAAACTTGTAATCAATTTATTATTTAATAACTATTTTTTTTTTTGCATAAGTAATAGAAATTAAAAGTGAATTTTTTTTTATTATTGAATATAGCCATATACTTACTTATATATAAAAACTATTTTATTAAATATTATATATTTTTTTTTCTGTTTTTTAAATTTTTTTTTATTATTTAAAAAACAAATTATTGAAAACATTTGAGATTAGTGTAAAGTCGAATCGTGAATATTAAATAAATATAAAAACTCTTCATTCTATCATTGTTTTTCATGAACAAAAACAACATTTTACATAAGAATTTAGTGAAATAATAAATTTAAAAAAATATATTTGAAAAAAAAAAACAAAGAATATATAAATGCAACATAGATAACAATTTAATAAATAAAAATACTTATTAAAAAAAATTTAATTCATGTATCAAATGTATTAATAAAATTTACAATAATTATTAATTTAAAAAAATAACAGTGGAACAACCAAGTCGCAACATATAAAAAAAAAACAGCACACAATATTATTAAAAAAAAAAACTATAAGTAATAAAACGATTTTTATTAAAACTCCTTATTGATTATTTAATTAAAAAAAATATATTAAAGATAATAAAAAAAAACTGCTTAGATAAAAAAGAAAAAAAAAAATGGAAACATAAGACAAAAATATTAGGTAAACTAGTAAATTTTGAAATCATAGTATTCTTGTGTTTTGTTTGTTTTCTCTAAGGTTCTTCTGAAAACACTGTTCTAACTTATTACTTAATAGATTGCAGTCTGTAATGAGAATTGTTTGAATTGTATTAGTGCTTTTAAAATCAGTGCATTTTAAAATATAAAGCTTCAAATAGCAGTTTTTTTTAAACATTTAGTGAGACGCAATTAAGACATTTCGGCATTGCATTTTTAATTCTCTAGCTTTGGTACCTTAATTATAAACGAAGATGGGAGAATGACAATCTTTTTTGAATTTTTAATGAATGCTTTTTAAGCTTTTATCTCTATTTTCTTCAACAAGATAATCAAATAAATAATTTTTAAGAGTTTTTTAAGCCAAGTAGAAGAATGACATCTTCAACTTTATACAAGAACTGCATTTTCCAAATTAATTTAGCTAAAGAGTTGCAATTAAAACTTTTTAGTACAACAAAATATGTAAACATTAAGTTGAAAAAATTTAGATTTTATGTTGGAAATGCGTACATAGAGAATGCTAAGAGAACATATTTTACTCTCTTATGAACAATAGAACTTTTACATATTTTCTTTTAATAATTTTTTACCTAACACCGTGTCTTCGAATAAGAGTCTTACAAAAACCAAAAAATGCCAATTTTATAGAATGACCTTCTTTTGTTGAATGAGCCTGATTTCAATTCTGCAGATATAGTGCAATACTAAAAAGTTTACCTTATTATATATGTATATACAAGATGTATAAATTTACAAGGGTATTTTGAGTATAAGAACATTTATGCATTTTTATATTTTACGTTACCACAGCTAATGTAATACATACTTATAAAAATAAAACATGAAGATTCGTAAATTTTAAAATGTCGTTTTGTTGTAGTAGCGGAACTAATTTTTGTGATGAGAAAAAAATATTTTACGTTTTTGTAGTGAATTAAGTAATTAATTATTTCGTGAAAGTAAAATGCTTATTTTATGTAAAATTTCATTAAAAAGAATAATAAAAGAATAATTTTGTTTCTGTTTCAAATTTCATTCATAGCTTATATTTTCATAAGGCATCTACTCTAGAAGTACCATTTTAAATTTTTATTTATTTTATTAAAATAATGTTAAAAGTATCTCCCGCTAATAAATATTAAATTCGATTTCAATGAAATCTCAAATGAAAAAAATTATGTTTTATAATTACACTGCTCTTGCGTTTGTAACCTTTGCATTATCATGGTAGTCAGTAAACGGAATTTTGATAATTTGACATTATTTAACGGCGTAAACTGTAAGGCATAATTTTTCGTAATAAAAAAACTCCTGAAATAAAAAAAAATCTTTGTTAATCGGCAACTCTAGTCGATAATTAAAAGAAATTTTTGAAGATTTCCGATAAATGGCAATTATTTTTTCGATTATTTGAAAACGCCTACTTATTTTAAATTTGATTGTTACGGCGTAGGAAACAGCTTATAGTTTTTGTAAGTTTTGTAGGTTTTTTATGTAAATAAATCCCGAAAAAATTTACGCCAAGCACTGAGAGAATATCTAAAATAGCCATACTGTTTTAAAATCAGAAAAATTCTTACAAAAAATATTATTTAAAAAAATTTTTAATTGGCAGCAAACAAAATACAAATGCCAATTCATATTTTTTGCATCACTAATTGGCAATATTTGATTTTCAAAAATACTGCTAACTCAGTGCTTTTCATAAATAATTGTACTTCCTTGACATTTCTTTTTAAACTAAAACTAACATGTAAGTAGTCAAAGTTTGAACTGAATTTTCAAAAACACGGTTATTTTTTGCGATAGTAATCTACAGTGAAGTCTTTAAAGCCTGCCAGTTCTAACGTGAAAGAATAAATTTTAAAAAAATTCTTTTAATGATTATTGTATGTAAAATTTTGTGCATATATAGAAATATAAATTTATAAAATATCATTTTTATTTTAATTAATATAAGTAAAATATATTAATTTTTTATTTTTTTTTCTCATTTTAGGAATCATAAATGCTGTGAATCTATTACCAAAATCTTTTAATAGCGAAATAAATTACATAAAAAAAAATAAAAATTTAAATTAAAAAAAAAAAACCAGTAAAAAAATTATATGTAAAATATTTTAATTTTGAAATTTGAAATTAAACATTTAAAATAAATATCTTAAAAAACTATAAAATAGAAAATATTAATGAATTAAAAGTATAATTAATAATATAAGAAATTGAACAATTGTTGTAACTGCTACAATATATATATATATATAAATTTTAATTAGTATATGTGTACAAAAATATTCCTTAATTATAAAACTAAATTGAAATAAATAAAATTAAAAATAAATAGAAAAAAAGTACAAAATATTAAAGCAAATACCAGAATTTTGCATTCTGAATGCAAACAAAAATCAATAGAAACTGCAGACATTAAGTAAAAAAAAATAAATAACTTAAAGACTTCTACAATAAAATTAAAAAAGAAAAAAAAAAGAAAAAAAACAAGAAACAAAATAATTTTTTTAAAAAATTATTTTTTACATTATTAAAAATTAAACAAATAAATTAAAATAAAGCGTGTGTTACTATTAGTTAAACAAAATAAACAAAAAAATTAAAAAATATTTAAGTTTAAAATTTAAACAGTAAAAAAAAAGAAAAAAGCATTTTTAAGAAATTAATAATACTTTTACAGCTTTACAAAAAAAAAAAAATAATTAAAAAAAAAATACAAAAAAAAAACATGAAAAAGTATATTCTATATTATTAAAAATTAAAATTGATAAGAAAATCTACACCTGTGATAATATTGTAATTTCATTTTTTTTATTTCTAATTTGTAATTATTAAAAAAATATAATAAAAACAAGGAATACTGCAAAAAAAAATTAAAAATTTAAAAAAGTATATATATATACATAACATATAAATTATATATAATTATATATTATTAGAAGAACACATATTTAAGAAAAGGAAACCAATCACGTGATATTATAAAGGACTTCAAAGTACATTTTATAAGTAAAGAAAAGACTTGGAAATGTAACCTTTAAAATTATTTAAATAAAAAAAAATAAAAATAAAATAATATTAATTATATTATGTATAACAATTATAATAATTAAAAAATTAAAATAAAAAAAAATACAAAAAAGAAAAAAAATATTAATAAATAAAAAAACGCAAGAACAAAAATTATAATTTAAAAAAAAACAAAAAATCTATATTATATTAAAAAGAAATTCAATAATTATTAAAATTAAAGTAAAAATATAAAAACCTATTAATTTAGAAATTCAAATTGTATATGTATAAATTTATAAATAATGATATATATAAATATATACTTAAAGTATGAAAAATATTTTAGTTTATACAATAAATTTAATTAAATAATAATAAAAAAATATTTGAAATAAAGAAATCGAAAATTTAAATTTATAAATTAACAACCTTATCAATAATTATATATAATATAATATATATATATAAAGAATATAAAAAATTAATATGTACATATAAATATCAGTATAAAATAATTACATACACTAAAAAATGAGATTGCCGAAATAATAACAATAATAGTATAAATAAATATTAAAAAAAAAGTAGTGAATTACTTACTAAAAACACGAATAACAAAATGCAAAAATAAATTATATATACATATATAAATATATATTTAAAAATTTATTAATAGAAAAGAACTTATTACTTATAAACACTAAAATAAAAATTAAAACAAATTATTATTATAACTATAAAAAAATATAAAAATATTATAATTTTCATTAAAAAACAAAAAAAAAAAAATTATAAAAAAATTCTCTTTCACTTTTTAAAACTGAAATTGTAATATAAATCCAACCATTTTTAATTGATTAATTATTCAAAAATAATAACTTAAAGAATTTAAATATAATAGAAATAAATAAAATATAAAAAAATAATAGAAAATTATCGGAAAACAAAAAAAACTATTTTTACATTAACAAAGAAAAATTAAAGCTTTTTATTTGAAAAAAAAAAACACTATAAGAAAACATTTAAACAAATTGTATTTTAAAATATTTATAAACCAAAATAAATTTAAATAAACAAAACAAACAAACCCCCCTCCTTACTACAAAATAAGGTAAACTCGATTTGTATTTAAGAAATTTTTTTTTTTTATATTAATAAAATTTATATATTGAAATATTTTCTACTTTTATCAATTTAAAACAAAAAACACTATTTTATTTTTATTTTTTCTCGATATTTTTGATTATTTTTACAATTGTATACTTATAATTTTTTTCTTTTGTCAATTCAACATAATCTTTTTCACCATTTCAAATCATTTTTTTTCATATTTTTCCATTAAAAAATAAAATTTCCTACTGTTTGAGATTTTTAAAATATATATTGTTTAAAAATAAAAATTAATTATAATTTATTGAATCGATAACAAGACAAGATAATTATTATAATAATTTCAGTAACAAAATATTAAAAAAATAGAAAACAAAATGTATTTAAAACAGTAATTGAATAATAATATTAAAAATATATTTATATTTATATAAATAACATTCTACTAAAAGTATAAATAATAAATTTAAAACTATAAATAAAACACAAAAACAAAAAAAAAAGCATTTTTTCCTCTTCTCTTTAAAATAATAAAAATTATTATTAATAAATAGTAAAAACTAAAAAATTGATATCTATATATATATACAATTATAGAATAAATAATTATAAAAATATTATTATATAATAATAAAAAATAAAGAGATTTTAAATTTAAAACTTTTTGTGTCTCCGTCTTGCGCTGTTTTTTCAAAAACAACAAAATAAAAATTAAAAATATAAATTTTTAAAAATTTAAAATTAAATTAATCAAAATTTAATAAATTCGCTTTAATTAAACAAAAAAAAAAAAGAAAAACTAAACTATTAAAAAAAATCAAACTGTTTAGAAATTATCAATAAAATTTAATTAATTCAAATAAGTTAAAAATTGAAAAATAGTTATGTAAAAAATAAGGGAAAAACAAACTAAATTAATAATTTAAATAAACAATAAAGAAACTCACTTTCTTGTAAAAAATTAGTGATCAACCACTTTAACAGTGACTCTACTTTATTCATGCTTCTCATATTTTTTCCCCTTCTCATCAACTTCAGCGCTTAAATACAAGCCAAAAAAAAACATCATTTTAAATTCTTTTCCTACATAAATTCTTTCTTCATTTTTAATTTATTTCAAAATAAATAAAAACAAGAAAAAAAAAATTATGATTTTTCATAAAGTAACGGATAACAGGAAAATTAATTAGTGGTACATAAGTATAAAAATATGCTTAATTAATAATTGATAAATTTAAAAAAAAAGAAAATGTTATAATTTTATACTCCGTATTATTGAATTTTTGTTTTCAAATAATATTAAAAAAATAATTTGAATAAATTCAAATGGAACATGTATTAAAAATGAAAACTAAACCCAGTGACTAAATTAGTTTATTACAAAATTATTAAAAATAAGAGGAACTTCAATAGTTTTCGAATAAAACGAAGAAAAAACTTTTTTTCAAAAATATTTAATAATAAAGAATTTAATTTATATAAAGAATAAAAAATTATAAAAATTTGCAAGATATAAATTATATTTTATTTTGATAAAATTAAAAAATTCATGTGAAACCAGTAAAAATAGTTATTTAAAAAACAATAATTACAAGGAAATAAAATTTTTAAATTAAATATTGAAAAATAATTTGAACAGAAATTATTAGAACAGTAAAATAAAAGAAATTATTTTATTTATTTAAATTTTATTTTGAAAAAAAAAAACTCTTCAAAAAAGATAACGAAAAAGAAAAACAGTTTATTATTTGGGCCTTTTTTAGCAGATATAAAAATTATTTTGCAAAATTAGTAAAAATATTTTGTTTTTTAAATTAAATATTGGAACAAAAAATACTTAATATCTTTAAAAAAAAAATAATCGACGAACGACGACGAAACTGAAAAATAAAAAATTATTTGGCTAAGAAGGAAATAGAAACAAGTGGAGATAAATTGAAAATTCAAATTAATCAAATCGGGGAATAATTTTTCAATATAATAAAACTAATTTAAATTTATATCAACATAAAAAAAAACAATAATCACAAATTTATATTCCAATAATTCGAGAGTAAATACACAAAGAGCATGAGCCAGTCGAAAAATTTTCGCAATGGCGAAGGTAATTTTATGTTTTTTTTTTCAAACAATCTTTTCTAATATTTATAAATCTATTGATTCGTTATTAATGTGAAAAAAATGACTATTTATTCTTTTAGCAGATATTTACGGTAATATATCATGTGATGAATTCTATAATTTGAACACAATTCGTAATATAAATGTACCAAATACATTTCCCCCTATTGGAACATTTTCTTTGGAAACTGTTAATTTAGCGCCCCCAACTCCAGTTCAACAATTATCGAACAATCATCATAATCATAATATATTTGAAAATGATGATGCTGCAAGAATATTTTCATCTAACTCAATCTTGACGAATGGCTTAAATAATTTAAATTTAAATAGTGGTGGAGGTGGTGGAGGTGGAGGCAATATAATTGCACAAAATTCAATTAATAATACCTCTAATAACAGTCATGGTCCAATAACTGGAAGTGGTGGTCAGCAGAATCATAATAATGCTAATAACGATGCAAGTCAAACAACACGAGAAACTGGAATCATCGAAAAGTTATTGGTATTTTATATTTAAAATTAAAAATTTTTTTGACTCTATTTAACTAAAAAACATTTTATACTTTTAGCATTCATACGGGTTCATTCAATGTTGTGAACGTCAGGCACGACTCTTTTTTCATTTTTCGCAATTTAGTGGAAACATTGATCACTTAAAAATTGGTGATCCAGTAGAATTTGAAATGACATATGATCGCCGTACTGGAAAACCAATTGCAAGTCAAGTTACTAAAATAGCTCCAGAAGTTGTAAGTATATTTTTTTAATAATGAATTTATTTTGCAAGCATATTTTTATAATTTTCTAAAAAGAAATTTATTAAATTTGGTGAAATTTGTTTTAGGTGTTATCTGAAGAACGTGTGACTGGCACTGTTACAACTGAACTTTCATGTTCCTCTAATGTCTTATCATCAAATGAAACAACAGGCCGTATTAGCTATGAGAATCGTGGAGAATGTTTCTTTCTCCCATATACCAAAGATGATGTTGAAGGTAATGTTAACTTACGGGCTGGCGATAAAGTGAGCTTCCAAATAGCAACTAACCAAAGGTAAAATAATCGCAAATAAAAAAAATTATTGAATCTATTTATTTAATAAGTAAAATTTTTATAAACAGAGGTAACTTAGGTGCCTGCCATATTCGTTTAGAGAATCCAGCTCAACCAGTTAAATATCGTGGTGTTGTTTGTTCGATGAAGGAATCATTTGGTTTTATTGAAAGAGCTGACGTTGTTAAAGAAATTTTCTTTCATTTTTCTGAAGCTGAAGGCTCGATCGAATTACGACCAGGAGATGATGTTGAATTCACAATCCAAACAAGAAATGTAAGATGTTGAATAACAAAGAGTTTTTGTTTCTGGATTTTATGTAGATTTGATTTTAGGGACGCGAATACGCTTGCAATATTACTCGCTTGCCACCCGGCTCGGTAATTTTCGAGGACGTTGATTCAACCATATTTAAAGGACAAGTTTTAAAACCTTTGGATCGTAATAATCCTCAGCGTCCATGTAACGACCCACTTCCAGGAAGGATTCGTTATAGAGCTCCAGATCATTCTGAAGTTGAAGTCCCTTTTGGAGATAAAGATCAGGTAACTACGAGCACCATTTTTTTTTAACTTTTTTGATTTGATAAATATTTTTTTGACATTACTAGAAAGGAGATTTTACTTTACGCCATGGAGATTGGGTTCAATTTTTATTGGCTACTGATAGGCGTGATCAATTACAACGTGCCACAGCAATTTCCTTATCTGATGAAACTTTTAAGGTATCTGGAGAAAAGCGAGAACAAGGAGTAGTTTCAGCGTTGAAAGATGGTTTTGGATTTTTACGATGTGTTGAACGAAATGTCAGATTATTTTTTCATTTTACAGAAGTTTTAGACCCGGTATTTATTTTTATTAAGTTTTCCTTAAAAATTTTTTACCATCTAAATTTTTTAGAGCCGTGAGTTATGTGTTGGAGATGAAGTTGAATTTACTGTAATTCAGGAACCTGGATCAACATACAACAGTTCTAGGCTTTGCGCCATTCGTATAAAACATTTGCCACATGGCACAGTTCAATTTGAAACTCTAGTTGTCAGTAACATTGAGGGTAATTCATATAAAAACTGTTTGAGTTTTGTTAAATCTTATAGATTTTATATTTTGCAGGGGTAATAACTCGTGAAGCTCCAAAAAGTCCAGTAAAATCACAAGATCGCGTTGAGGGGGGTGTCATAAGCTATGATCAAAATGATACAAAAAAAACTATTATGTATTTTCTAAAAGACTGTGAAAAACCACCAAGAATTGGTAGCCGAGTGCGATTTGATATATGCTTAGTGAGTTCTCTTTCATTTTTGAAATATTTTATTATTTTATATAAAATTTTATTAACTAATTAACACTAACATTAGCGTTAATTAGAGTTTTTATTTGCATTAAATTGAAAAATTTCATTCGCAAATTACAAATAAAATTTTATACTGATTGAATTTTTTTTATCAAAAAAATAAAATTTTGTAGAGTATATTTTACAATCATCTTGTACATAAATTTTTGGTTTGGAATTCATTTTTTTTGATATTGTAAAATTGGAATTGTATTCGGTTATAAAAACTTTTTTTCTTTTAGGTGAAGCGTAACAAAGAATTAATTGCGGTTAATGTTGTCGACGTAACTCATTCCACAAGCAATTTAAACAATCATCAGGAACAGCAACATCATCAACACCATCAACAACAACATCAGCATCATTCACAACAACCGCAACAACAATTAACTAATGGCATTAGTTGCTCTCCAAATAGTGGTAAACATAACGATTATGGGAATATGAAAATAGAAGACTACAATAAATATGATAATAATAATCTGACAAATAATTCTGGAAAAGTTTATAGAGGCTTCATAGCAGTTTTAAAAGAAAATTTTGGTTTCATTGAAACCTTAACACATGATGAGGAAGTTTTCTTTCATTTTAGTAATTATAATGGTAACCCAAGTTGGTTAGAATTGGGACAAGAAGTAGAATATACTTTAGCTCCAACTGGTAGCAGCACATCGACATCTGGTAATTGCTTACCAGCTGAAAATGTAAAAACTTTGCCAAAAAATTCTATACCTATACCAGCTGTATTAGATGCAATATATAATGGTATTGTTGCAAGACCATTACGTTGTATTAATCCAGATCAACAAGAATATTCAGGGTTAGTTGAAATGTGGAATGATCAAAAAATTTGTGTTAGCACACACGAATTCGGAATAACAAGTTTGGTTAATAAACGGGATCTATTACAACAAGGCGATTTAGTAACATTTAAAATTGATGTAACTGGGCGTGCTGCAGAAATAACAGCTGTACGTCAAAAGAAACGTGCAACAGTTGATTCAATTAAAGGACAATTTGGATTTTTGAGCTATGAAATAGAAGAAGGAAAAAAATTATTCTTTCATATGTCTGAAGTTCAGGGAAATACAGCTGCCTTACATCAGGGTGATACGGTTGAATTTTCAGTTGTTACAAATCAGGTAAATCTTAATACTACAACTTAATTTTATATATCAATTTTCTTAAAAATAAGAATAAAAGACTATTAATAGAATCAATAGTTTTGAAATCGTGTGGAAAAAATAAGATGAATCTAGGCGAAATTTAAACATAAAATTTCCTTGTTTTTTAGTTAGTTTTAGTTATTTAATATCCTTTATAACACACACACACACACATATATATATATATATATATATATATATATATATATATATATATATAATATATATAATACACATAATATATATACATACATATATTATGTGTATTTAATTATTAGTAATATATTATGTGTATTTAATATCATTATTTATTAATTACTTCATTCTTTTCCTTAATTGTCTATTTTGATGTTACTTAAGCATTATGTATAAACAAAAATTAAAATTAATTTTACATATTATATTGATATTTTTCTAAAAAACCCAATATTTGATGTCAAAAAGTAATAAAAGAACACCACCCATTATTTCAATACCATCAGAAATTTTAATTTTACCACCTACATATACATACGTACATATATGCTAATTCCACATTTTGCTTCAAGTTTTTAATATATGTACATATGCTCATAAATGTTTATTCAGGTTACAAATTTTTAATATTATAATATTTAAAATTGAATATTTTATTTGGATATTATATAATTTTTAATAAAAAAAATTATTTTTGCAGCGAAATGGAAAATCTTCGGCATGCAATGTCATTAAAATTAATGATCGTCCAGATCGTTTGATATCTCGTTTGAAGCTTAATTCTGTAGATGATTCAAGTCCACGTTTAATTGTGACACGCGCACCTAGAGGACCACAGGGCAAAGGGTTTTCTCCACAGTTTCGGTCTCCCCGTATTGCTGGTAGCTATTTTTATTTTGGTTTCCAAAACTTTAATTTTCACATTTAAAATTTTTTCTTTATTTTTTAGGTTTAGTCGCTGAATAAATATTACAAAAACAAAATTTTAAAAATCTTAATAGCAATAAAACTGAATCGAAACAAATTTGAAACCATGAAATTATTTAATTAAACAAAAAGAAATCAATACAAATGTATTCAGTAAATGCAGTACATAATAATAAAATAAAAAAAAACATAAATTATTAAAAATATAAAAAAAAAATTAAAAATTAAAAAAAAAATGCTTATATACATATAAAACATATTGGCACTAAAAATTCTAGTTATAAACAAATTATATTATAAACAAAAAAGGATGGAATACAATACAAGAAAATTATTTAAAAATTCAAATAAATCATAAACTATAGAGTAAAACTACAAAAAAAAAATAAAAAATTAAAAAAGTAAAAAAAAATACAATTCAAACCCTATTAACTTAAATGGCAATTTGAAGAAAAAAGTAATGGAAACTCTGCCATTTTCCCAAAAACATAAAAAGAAAAAAAAAGAAAGAAATAATCTAAAATTATAACAATAATAATATAAAACCAAGAAGAAAAAAAATTATACAAAAAGAAAATATAAAAAAAAAATTGAAAAAAAATATATGAATACGTAATATGAAATGAAAAAAATTTGATGTAGTTTCAATTATCTTGACTTTCTTATATTAAAATGTACAACAAATTTTAGAATTTTGTTGATTGAAGGTTCTTAAATTTTCTACTATTCAAAAATTCACCACTAAAAGCTAGCTGGTGTTTTTTTATTTAACAGTATTATGTCCTAAAATTCAAAAGAAACAGCAACGTCAATACAGATTTAATTATTGAAATGTAGTCAGATTATTTTGTTACTATAATCGAAATCCAGAATGTACTCCACGTATTTTTAAAATCTCTGTTGTTTTTCTGATTTTGAAACTTAAATATTAGTGTTTAAATACTGTTTGATTCTACTTTCTGGCACATTTTAATATACGAATATTAAGATGTATAACTTAAACTAAAATGTACAAGTACTTGCCTATAAATGCAAAATAATCTAATTTTTTAGATTTTTTTTTTATAACAATATTTATTATGATTAAAATCCTCTAATATTTTTTAGAGGATTTTCGATATATATAAAATATGCAAAAAACATTTTTAAAATTTAAATTAGCGCTTTGAATTATGAAAATTTTTTTATCTACCTCGAAAAAATAATCTTATATAATTCCTCATAATTTTCATTTGCATTTTATTAAACAATTCACTCTTTTCTATCTTTTGGAATATGTTCCCAAAGGAGGTAAACACGTTAACGGGTAAATAAAATATCTTTGAATATAAAAGTGGAATCGAAACAGGATAATGATACTACTGATATTAGACTCTAAATTCAACTATCTTAAGAATTTGAAAATAATTCTTATATTCAAATTGGTTTTCCGTAAAAATCAATCCTTTGTCAAAGGATTTCATTTTCCCGAATTTTTCGAAAATAATGCAAATTCAAAAGATGTGGTATTTTATTATTTTATTTGTATAATTTGGAATGTGCGTTTGTAGACGGGTATTAAAATTTAGTTGTGTAGAGGGATACCCTTTAAGATGGCAATTATGTAATACAAAAAAATTTTTTAGCTAGGATAACAATATTAATCAAGTCATGGGAAATTCTAAATTTGCAGAATAAAAAATATTTTGAGGTATGTAAATTTTGTGATTTATTTTATTACATTAGAAAAAAATATTTATTTTAAGTATAAAGTATATTCGGAATAAAATATAAATTATATTCGCAATACAAAACTTTTAAAGTTTTTCATTTTGGATATACTGATTGCATATAACAATTTAATTTGAATTAATTTTTTACTACTTACTATTTAGAACTACCATACTATTTAATAGTAAGTATGATTATTTAGGGTTTATAGAAAATTATTTCTTTATAGAAATTTCAAAATATAAAATAAACTATATTATTTTAAAATTTTCGTTCATGAGTTTCAAGAATTAACTTTTTAAGTTTCATTTTTTTAATTTTCTTAATTTTTACAGTAAAGGATGATAAAGGATGATACATATGTATCTTTAAGGAATCATTATATCATTATATAGCTCCTAATATGAAATTCACCTTGAAAAATATGAAATTATAATTTCAATTATTTTTCTATTGCTAAATTGATCTCGTTAAAGTATAAAAAATTTCGCTCACTAATAAAGTAAAATAGGCTTTCACGTTTTGTTCTTTTCTATATTTGATTTATTCTTTTAAATCTTTGGGTTTGCTATTCTTTGTCGATTTTATCAAGTTTCTTAGACCCTAAACAACTCTTTCAGATATAATTGGTGTAAAATTTATTAAAAAACAGCAAAATATTTCTCGCTTATTTAAGCATAAAAAACAACTTGAAATTGTTAACAAATCAAAATTAAGAAATGGAAGTTAAAGTACTTTAACATTTAGAATATTATACATACATACATACTAAAATATGTATATAATGTAATTTTAACTGAAATCCTAAGCATAATCCAATCATAAATTGTGTGTACTTTTAAGTAAATTTCGTTTCATATTTTACCTTTATGGTCAACATGGTTATGTAGCATAAATTTATAAAAGTAGTATTTTTTATATTACATACCTTTTTATTAATTTTTAATTTTTTTAAGTTCTTGTCAGAATTCATATTCGAATTTAATATGTATTTATTAAAATAAAACAAAAAGTAGGATATTTAAACATTTTTACGGTAATAACAAAAATGAATTTTTTGAAATCAAGAAATGAAACTGGAAAATTGCATTAATTGGTACATATAAAAATTTTGTTATCGTTTTATTTCATCATATTATTGCTATTATCTTTATAGTATCAGATATCATCAGTGAAACGAAAATATTCGGATAGTTCATTAATAAAATATTGAATTAAGTAAAAAAATCACAAAAAAAAAGAAAAGAAAATGAAACAAAGATGTTAAAAAAACGGTAAGAAATCATTTTTCAGGATTCTCGCACTTTTCAATATTAAAAACTTATGCTTATTGTATAGTAAAATTTGTTTCTCGTTTATAAGTAAAACAATGTAGTTATACGCATTCGTTGTTATCGGAATGAGTCAAATTTTGAGCTAGTTAACTTTGAGTTAGTTTTCCTTGATACTTCTGAAAAGTAACCCGGTATAATACTTTAAATTTTTTATTCGTATTCAAATACATTTAATTTCTAACTTTTTTGATTTAGTTAGAAATTGAAAAATTACACATAAATTTAAATGGAAGGCAAAACAAGAGCGTCTAACCTGTTAAGAATTTAAACAACAAATAGAATAATATGTAATGATTAAAATATTTAATTTAAAAATTTTTTGAATACATTCCCTGATTCAATATGGAATGATTCAATATTCAATATCATTTCAATATATTAACAAAAATTTTTAAACAAACTGCATACTATCAGTTGATAATAGCAATGATTTCATTAATTCGGTAAGTAGAATATTTCTCCAAATAAATCGAAGGGGTATTTACTAATCAAAACTATTAACTAAATCAATTCATAAGTGGAGATTTTCATTAATTATAAGAAATGCTCTTCAAGTGCTACATAATTGCAAATCTATAAAAATTAATTAATTTTTATAAAAATTTACTGTATTTTTAAAAAAATTTAATTAATTTACTTTTGCACGATTAAAACAAAACTTTTTAAGAACCTTAAGTACAATTGCAATATTCAAAAGTACTTTAAATAAAATTGAAATTTTATTGGACGCTCTACTTCTGCAGATTTTACAGCTTTAATTTGTCGAGTGTTGTTTAAGTGATTTGTTAAAGAGTAAGCCAGAATTAGATTATCGAAATTTGATTATGTATTTACTGTTCGTTTGAATATTAAATTGTTGAATACTGCAATTCTAAGGTATGAAGCTTCATGAATTGTTAAATATTTATTTGGTGAGTAAATATTGAAATATTCATGCTATTGACAGCTTCATCATTTGCGTTCTTAATGAAAAATAAAAAATATTTCTTCTACAAGCATTTGAAAATTCGAATCCTATACGTGAATGCATCAACCAAAGACAGTATATAAAAAAAAAAACAAAATTATTTTTATTTCTATTTTAGCCTGTCACTTTTATAAGCACTTATTATAAAATGGACATTAAAATTCTGAATGGATGTGTCTTCCTATATAATATTATGATTGCTCCATAATATGTCATATAATTTTTCTTCATCTTTATGAATGAAGTTTTTAAAATAATCAAAAAAAAAAATGAGACAAAAAAACGTTAAAATAAAAAATCAACGAAATAAAATCGAATAATTTATAAATTTGTAATGCTGACAATATCATTGAATTATGACTCTTCTTACCTAACATAATAAATGAAGCATAATCAAGCTTTAACTTATAACTGACATTGATTATTATTCGAGATATTCTTACTTTTTTTTTGTCGCTAAGAATTTATGACTGGTTGTCATTATTGATTTAATTTTATTTAATGGATTTAATTTTCAAAAACAAAAAGTAAAATGAAAAGTAAAAATGAAGAAACTATGCGCATAAATTGTAAATTCGATTCCTTCTACTCTTAATCAATATTATAGAGTTTTTGCCTTCGTTACAATATTGTAAAAGATGTGGAAATATTAAATTGTATTTGATATTATTCACTAACCGTATGACATCTCACTTAAAGAGTTTTTTAATATAAATGGGTTACAATGTGATATTTTGAACCTTTTTACATTGAATTCATTTAAACTGAAAATATTTTATGCTTTCTTTTCTTATAATTTTGCCATGAGAATTAATTTTAACTAGAGTTGTTTCAGTAAGGTTTGGATAATGAAAATGTCTGATAGCTGTAACCTCTTAAAAATGTGAAAGCGCAATATTTTTTAATCACAACTTCTAGCGGCAAAAATTGATAACGTAGGATAATGAGAATCAATATTTAACCTTTTCATTCCATATTTCGATATTTGTGAAACGATTTTCGTAATTGGAAAAATGGTAAGGTAGGACCAAACAGTTTTTATGGTAGTACCTTTCCATTTCTGCAAATACGAAAATCGTTTTACTAAAATTTAATTACATAGTAAGGCTCCTGAACGACTTTCTTTTGCTAGGATCTCTAATATAGGTCTATATTATGTCTATACTTTACTCGTCAAATCATAAACATTCTATATATTCTTTGCAAACACTCAATAACTCTGATTATGACTAAAATTTACAGTTTTTGTGTATTATATTTTATCAAATAATCTGAAAAGATCTCAGGTTTTTGTTTACTTACACTTATTACAAGATTTATTTTCTTTTTATACCCGTACGAACGTATGTTCGAAGGGTATACTAAATTTGCCTTACCGTTTGTAACGCTAAGAAATAACGGTGTTAGATATAAACTCAAGTGTATATTTTTGATCACCGTCAAATTCTGAGTTGATTTAGCTTTGTCTGTCTGTCCGTCCGTCCGTCCGTCCGTCCGTCCGAACGATAACTCAAAAACTAATTGAGCTAAGTTCACCAAATTTTCACAAATGATTTATTGTAGTAAGTGCCAGAACCCTATTTAAATTGGACATGATCGGGGTACC